AATGGGTGAATATGTATGGGTGTATATGTAATGTATTTATGTAAAAATAAAAAATAAATTATATTACACCGAAGCTTTCTCAGGGTGGGCCAATGAGTAAACCCTGGCCCTATGGTGGCTACGCCACTGATGTAAACTTGAATAATGTACTTAATTTGAATGTAATAATTATGTTGGTTGTTGTTTGTGGAAGCGCCAGTGAATGAGCCCCATTAACTGAGTTTTATCACTTTAAATGGAAGATCCCCATAGGAATCGACCGATATGGCTTTGTCAAGGCCAATACCGATTATTAGTAATCAAGGAGACCGATAACCGATATTTGGAACCGATATACATTTGCAGTAAAATCAGAAAGTCTTGGTGTCAAAATGTAGAATAACACAACTTCTTTGAAATGCCTTTTTATGTTTAATGAACTTTTCAACATCTTAAAACTGGTTTCCTGTCTGTGACCCTGAGTAAAGTAAATTAAGTAAAAATAAAATAAAAACTACTAAAACTTGTTCTGAACTTCTGATATTTGAGTCTCACTCATTTAGTAGTCCCAATTCAGCAGCACCAGATTGTGGTGCAGAAAGCAGAGTTGCTGCAAGGCTCCACTAGCAGCCGTCCCAGCGCATCACAGTTGCTCCTCTGCGAGACGCTACCCGCCCCCCCCCGGTCCCTGTGTAACTGGGAAACTGATAGAATTGGATCATAAAATCGTGGTGTTTTTGCAACTTCAGCAAAGGGGATTGGGATGTTTATTGAACTTTGGCTTTCAACTGATTTACCTTCTAAACACATGTATGTCTGTGTCTGTGTCTGCGTTCTTCACACCTGCCTGTAATCTGAGAAGGTCCCGCCTCTGGCTGGCTGCAGCCCGGAGAATCTTCAGTGTTGATTGACACTTCAGTAATAGCCTACCAGATAGCGCTATGGGCGGGACATTGCTCGTGAACAGTGGTGACTGCAGCCAGAGAAACGGCCGCATCAGAGCCAAAGTTGTATCGGCAATTTGATTTAAAAAAAGGCCGATACCGATAATCTGTAAAATGTGGAATATCGACCTCGATAATCGGCCACTCGATCGGATCGGCAATCGGCCGATACTGATTCCGGCAATCGGAGCATCCCTACTAAAAACATCTTCATCCATCCCTGAGTTCAATCATTCAGAAGTTAATTGAACTCACAGATGAAAGACAGGACAAGCTCAAGGGAGATTTGAAGATCAGCAGGCTTAAGGTCACAACATGTTGCCCCAAATCAACACCAGGGGCCACACTGAGTCACTGACTTTAAGGGAAGTTAATAGTTATGTTTGAATCTTTAGCTTAAAGAGGCCATATTATATTTGTTGTGTTTTCTTAGAGATGTCCCGCCCCTTAACCTATTACGTACAATGTGTTGGAGCGCTACCCAATAGAAGCGCAAGTGTTACATAGTGATATCACTATGTTGCAGAAGTAAACAAAGAAGTCCAATGGAGGCGTTTCAGGCAGGGGAGTGTGTGGGAGAGAGAGAGACCCTCCTGGGGGAACTTTGGAATTTTAGACTTTGCAGACCATTTACAAAATCCAAAATAACACACTACAGGAAAGGGAAACCCCCGCAAAGCATAATAGGGCCCTTTCAAATGCAAATGTATAATCATTGACAAAAATGGAGACAGCGTAGAAACGGGGAGTTGCCACCGTTTCTTGTTTATTTTTTCCCTTTAAGACATTATAAAGTCTACGAATTCAAGTTTTTAGTTTTCATAACAAATCTGAATTAATTATATATTTGTTTTTTCATATTTTTGGTCGGACTAAAACAATCTAAGTTTTGCCCTGCGAAACTGCGCTTGACATTATTGAACATGTATTGAAGTTCTGTACTGAAGAGTCAACTTTTCAATCAAGAATTACGGACTAATTAATACAATTGATGATTAAATGCAGTTCTATTGTGCATAACTATGGCTTTATATTTCAAATTCAGGGCAAAGAAAACCGTAACTATTTCGTAACTTGATTCACTCAATGACAATTGTATTTGTATTAATCAGATAATATTTACATTATCATTTTATTTCTTGTTCATTATTTGAATCAGATCAGTTTGTGCAAAATAAGGACAATGGATTTCACAACTTCCCGGAGTTCAAGTTGTCATCTTTAAATTACTATCCACACCCAGCAAATCTTGACAACGCAGAATAAGTGAATGTTAGCATTTCTCCTTGATAAATGATTTAAAATGGTGTGTACGTCACCAGTCAGAGACCTGTGTGCATTGAGCTAATCATCTTGGCATTACACGCCTGAACATCCTGGTCATGTTTTTAAATCACAAAAGATTCAGTGTGTCACGCAGCATGCCTGCTCCTTGTTCAGCTGCTTCTCCCCGATCTTGGAATGTGTCTCTGTGATTGTGTTATGTAACCACGGGCCGGATGTGCATAGTTGCGTGTGTGTATGTATCCTATATTTTTTCTGAGATTGAATCTCTGAGTATCTTTGTTTTGTAAATCTACCTTATGCAGATATTATGCAGTTTCCATTGTGTATTATCTATTTTCTCTGAATAGACTTTTTCAACACTGGTTAACTGCGGCTGCACACAGTAAAAATGTCACCTAAATGCTTTGATTGGCTTGTTTTGAAGGTTGTCAAATGTTGAAGGATTTAACTCATTAAGCATTTTTTTCCCTAAACTTTCTGTAATTGAAGTTCTTAAAACTACAAAAAAGCAGCTACTGTACACAACTTGTGCTTGGGCCATCTTATTCCCACTGATGCCATTAATGCTATAATTTTTGGCAACCATGACATTAAAAAAATTATATTAAAACGTGTCCACCAAATGATATTCAACTAAATTCCTTGAGTTGAGTAATGTTCCCTTGAGCTAAGGATTTTACCATCAACAGGTTCTGTGTTCAAAATGAAACACATCTCTGTTGGAAAGGTCTCTACATAAACTACACTGTCAAGCATTATCCTTAATTACTGATCACAAAAAAACCTTTAAATTGTGATTTTTCTTTAAATAACACTTTTCTTAAGTTACGTTTCAATTACCAAGAATTCAGGTCAAAGAAAACCGTAACTACTTCAGTCCAAGTTCATTCAACGAAATGTTTTGCCATTTTGTATTTGTAGTCATCTGATAATATTGAGCGTTTCAGTCAATCTAGTCTAGCCAACATGTAAGCTTGTTTCTTTCTCCCAAGCCCTGTTGTTGCCATTGCTAACCTTAACTTATCTTAGGTAAGTTACTTTGAATCTGTCTGACTGCTTATGTTGTGCTGCTGCTGTTGTCCGATAATAGATAAAATGGGCGATTTTTTAACTTTTCAAACTACATTTTAGCCCATTACTTCAGTCAACACTTTTGCGTAATGATATGGTCACAGTTGGTGTTAATTGACGTCTTCTTGTCTCTGTCATGGAAGAAAAGCGTTGTTGACAAACATATTTTGTCATAGTTTTCAATAACAAAATTAACAGCGGGTAGAAGTTCCTCAGGGAACCGATCAGGGCCCTTCATGTTTTCATTTTAAGGCAACCATTAGCTTTCTAGGGTGTGGGCAGTATAGCACGCAAGTCATTTTGTAAAGTAAATGTATTCAATAATTTAAGTCCAATTTTGAGGTACTTGTACTGTCTATTTATACTTCTTTATACTTTTAGTTCACACCTTATTGTATCTATGCTCATTTGAATAAGTGTGAAAGAGCACAGAGAACTGCTAGGATCAATATACTGTTTTCACTGTTTTATTGGCTGAAATGGAACAATAGTCTCATTATTAAATCCTGACTGGTAGTTTAGCTTTATACATCAGGGTTGAGATATTGAGGATGGAGCAAACACTTTGCACTAAGTATAACACATTTCAGTATTTTGATTATACCAAAAAAAGTCATACAATATAAATTCCTCTAGCTTCAATGTGAACTGGATGCATTACTGGTTTCTCATTAGTTGGCTTCTCTGCTGCCTTTGCAGTTCCAGAATTATTGGCAGAAACATTTAGCTTGATAGAGAGACTAATACTCAGCTTAAAGGAAGAAGGCAAGACTTACCCAATGATAGACCTTTCCTGTGGTAAACATTCAAACTCGATTAATTGATTGGATTATTGATTTATTGTTAAGGCCGTTTAATAAGAAAAAACAGCATACACTATCTGGTTGAAGCTTCTCAAATACGCTATGCTTTTTTACCCATTATATATTTTTTCTAACATTTTGTTTTACCTTAAATTACTTATCTATTGATTCGAAAAAATGTCAATAGATGAAACATTGATCAAAATCCCTGTTGCATCACTGACTGTAATCCATTCATGTTTGCTGGTTCGACAGCCTTTGTTCTGCGTGTATCGGCTAAATGAAACCGAACCATCATAAGTGTTGCTAATTTGCACTGTAGATTTTCTAATATGACACAATAATAAGTCATAATGCCAAATAAAAAAAATAAGCATTGAAGTTGTTATTGATTGCTGCACAAAGAGTTTGGGCTTATGTTGCAGTAAACACATTTTATTTAATTAAAGTTGAAATAACCTACAAATATTATAATATTGATTACCGTATTACCCACTTTTATCATTTCCTTTATATGAATATATGAATATACTATTAATGTAATCATTAAACACTAAATTGTTATAAATTAACTCCTAGCTGGACGTGCCTGGAACACCTCCCTAGGGAAGAGGCCAGCTGGCACCATACTTGGTGGCGAACCACCTCAACTGGCTCCTTTCTATGCAAAGGGTCAGCGGCTCCACTCCGAGTACCTCCCTGATGATTGAACTTCCCACCTTATCCCTAAGGGAGATGCCAGCCTCCCTCCAGAGGAAACTCATTTAGGTCACTTGTATCCGCAATCTCGTTCTTTCGTTCATGAACCCCCTTCATGAGTATAGGTAAGAGTAGGAACGAGGATGGACCGGTTTGAGAGCTTTGCCCTCTGGCTCAGCTATTTCTCACAACATGGCATTAATAGCTACTGCAATACAGCTCCCGCTGCTCCCTTTATCCGGCCCGTCTCATGCTCCATTGTCCCCCCACTCGAGAACAAGAACCTAAGATACTTGAACTCCTTCACCTGGGGCAAGGAAGCATTCCCTACTCGGAGTAAACTGTCCATTGGTTTCATGCAGAGAACCATGGCCTAGAGGTGGGCTGGGAGCAGAACAAGCTTCCTCTGCGACCTGACTCCAGATAAGCTTTTTGAAGATGGAAATGGGACTAATAATGGCTGAAATACTACAGTCACAAGAGACAGGCACATAAACAATGAAATAGCATGTTTTTTTCAGTTATAATATTAGACTAATTTGGTTGTGGCCCCTGGTTAAATGGGGTCTAGCAATCAGAGGGTCAGTGGTTTAATCCCTAGCCACTGCAGTCGACACGTCGAAGTGTCCTTGAGCAAGATGCTTAACCTCAAATTGCTCCTATAGGCATGTTCATTGGTATTGAGGTGTATAGGTCACATTGGATAAAAGCATCAGCTAAATGACATGTAATATAATGTTATATGGCATTTTCGTTACACAATACTTACAAAAATAATACTTTTGTTACTCTGTGGATCCAAAATCTAACAGGGTATTTCCTACAGACTCTCTAAGGTTTTTGAATTGCTCTGTGAGGCGATTTAGCTGTAACCATCTGCAGTCCATCTTGGAAGAGAGATGGAAGGAGAGAGGAACACGTTAAGAGAGGCAAAAGTGGGCTGAGGAAAGACGTATACACTGCAGTACACACAGAGGATGGAAGAGAAGCAGAGAGACAAGGGGAGAAGGGATTTAGTGAAGTCGATGGGGAATGGGAGAGATGAGGGGAATGCAGGATGGATCGAAAGAGGGCTGGAAAGAGAGTGAGAGGTGGTTTGAAAAGGATCAGAGAAAAAGGGAGAAAGAAAAGAGAGGGAGAGAGGGCTGGACGAAGAGAACTGCAGCTTTAGAATAAGATATTTGCTTCATGGTGTCTTGCACATAGCTTGTGTACTGTACATTTAGAGGTGCAACAGAAGTTATACTTTTCTCCCAATAAATCCACGTGTCCTCTATGTTTCACCCATCCTAATGATTGAGATAATACAATGTGCTTTAAAGGACTAAAACACTTGAATTATGTTGAATAAAGCTGTCAAATACTTTTTTTTAAGAAAGAGTGAATTAATGAGTGAAACATGATTATGTTTTCCAGTTTTTGAAAATGAAATTTGTTTTGCAGCAAGATTTTTCAAAAAGATTGCATTTAAATATATTTGTAGAACTAAGATTATTATTAAAATATACAAAGCTAATATATAAAGCAAGACATGGCAAGTTTATTTAAATAGCACCATAGTAAAACATGGTAATTCAAGGTGCTTTACAAAAAGTCTTCAGTGATGGTTAAAAATGAATAAAATTTGCTGCAAACTTGCAGTTTTCTGCATTTGTGCAAAATGTCTTTGTACAATTGAGCTAATATGCTGGAGATATCCTTATTTGCATTTTAATCCAAATGCTTCTGCCTGTCACATTTTCTATGCTGTGCCTGGATGAAAGCTAACACTCCTACCTTTTAGTGGTGGCAGCACACCGACAGACTGTTACACAAGCATCTATAAGCTCCTCAAATTCAAGCAGAGAAACGGGTGAAGAGTGACACCATTGCTAAGCTGTAAGAAAGCTTGGATCAAGGTAATGCGTCTGTCTTAAGCTCGCTGAGAACACAACACTAGTTCAAGCAAGGGGATTGACCTATGTGTCGTGACTCCGGTGTTATGCCGTGTTATGCATGCCCTCCAAAAACGAAATGATAACAATTCCAAACCGTACTTTGCCGTACAACTCATTGAAATGTCTGGGGGTTTTTGCTTTACACTGTGCGCGCTCCCGCGGGGTGCATGCAGCTCTCGGTGGGCACGCATAACACGGCATAACACCGGCGCTAACAGTTCACGAGCGAAATAACTACATTTACATGAAACCTCTGCTGGGTTGCTTTAAAGTCAAGCTTCAGTTTAAGATTCACCCTGTAATAGATGTAAAACATGTGATGGAGCATTACTAACCTGACTCGGATGCTTTGTTTCACCAAACCATCTAGGAAAGCTCCATTGGAAGCCATTTGGAAAAGTATTTCAAAAATACTTGGCAGGTGATTGGATCAATCTGTCTATCACCTTCTATTATGGGCCACCTCTGATTGGTTAACAATGGCTGCATGTGGAGCACAGCACTTCTGATTGGTGTGGATGACTGACACACAAGAAAAAAAAAAGGAAAATAATTGCAGGCTTTGCGATTTGATAATCGCATCATTTCAAATCGCGATTTCTATTTAAAATCGATTAATCGTTCAGCCCTATTACTGTACCTAACAAGCTTGACATACTGAGATGTTCTGAATGGTTGCTGTCCAGCAGTGTTGTAGTCAAGTCACCAATTCACGAGTCCAAGTCACTCTCGAGTCCCCACTTTTCGAGTCCGAGTCACTTAGGAAGAGTCGAGTCGAGTCCGAGTCATCATTACCTGTGTTCGAGTCCTAGTGTCCGAGTCGAGTCAGAGTCATCATTACCTGTGTTCGAGTCCTAGTGTCCGAGTCGAGTCCGAGTCATCATTACCTGTGTTCGAGTCCGAGTCACCCAAGAAGAGTCCACGTCAAGTCAGAGTCACAAATCTTCATGCATTAATCTTAGTGGATATATTTGTTGAAATGTAGAGCTCCTCTACATTGCTTTTATCCTGTCACTTTATACTAATTTGTCTATTGAAATGCTGTAAAATGTGGCTACAATTCTTGTATAAAAGGGAGTGCAATAAACAGATACCATCAGTTGGAGAGTCTGACCATCATTCAGCCAGAGACGCTATAATTACTATAATTACTATAGTGAATGTTTACATTCTACTAATAAAGATTTAGCCCCAGAAAGCACATGGCTACTTAGCATGCAAAATGACATCATTCTGCATGTTAAGTAGCCATGTGCTTTTGTGTTATCGAATCTTTATTTATTGATTAGATCACTTTACTCTGATGACAGTGTTCAACCTACCTACATGTCTGAACTTGATCCTTAGAGTAATGTGTTATGGAGCCTTCTCTTCAATCTTTGTTCCACATAACAAGCATTTTGCGCTGCTCTTTCCCAATGTGGAAGCAAAATCTGTGAAAGCATGATACAGTCTCTGGACATCTTTAGACTGGAATAGCGGGGGCGCGCCCAGTACGTGAACCCGCCTCGCAGGCGCACACGCCAGGACAGAGTACATCTGACTCCAGACAGAACTTGCTCGAATCTGAGTCCAAGTCAGAGTGTCAATGTACAAGTCGAGTCCGAGTCATCGCGTGCGAGAATTCACGAGTCCGAGTTTTAGTCCGAAAATCGGCACTCGAGTACTCGAGTATCTCTGCTATTCAGATGTCCTATTGATTAGCATATCATTATTGCAAACATCCTTCTTCTTCATTCTTCATCAATCATCCATTCTGATTTATAGCCTTACAGGGCTGCTTCTGTGGATATGAACCATTAGACGTGTTATCATTCTATTAGCATAACATAAAAACAATATTGTGTTGCTTTACAGTTCTATTAAAAATAAGGAAACATTTATTGATTAGTGTGGTACCATTAAATGATTTGGTGGTTTTTAACCTGCAGTTGTGTCTAGTTCAGTTTTAATCTCATTAACTGAAAATATGACAAATAGGTTTTTATGCAAAAATAACTTACCACACTAAATCGAGATTACTGCAAATCACAAAACAAGTTTGTTTTAAAGCCAAGAAAAAGTAATGACTAACAGTTAACTAAAGTTTAATGGCATTTTGTCTACTTATTTTCGAAGGCTGAAGCTAAACTTAAACAAAGAGAGATATCGTTCAGAGAGATTAAGTGTCAGGCACTCGCGTGAGGCAGTCGCAATTTCTACAGGCTCGCACTACCTGTTAGCATCTAGCTCTCCTGCTTACAAACATTTAGCCATCCCTGCTTATACAAGTAGTAGTTTTAGTTGTCTGCGATCTGCGGAGGCCTACTCCCACCTGTCGAGTACGGCTGTACTGAGGTGTTTTTCCCCCGGAGACGTCTCAAAGAGACGGAGCGGCTCCACCTGTTGCTGCCTGCGATCTGCGATCTACGGAGGCCTGCTCCCACCTGTAGAGTACGGCTGTACTGGAGAGGTTTTTACCCCGGAGTCGTCGCGGAGAGATGGAGTGGATCCACGCTTCGGGCTTGGCCTGCTTCCACCGGGCGTGTGCTGCTATGCGGAGGAGGATTTTACCACGGCTGGGGCCTGCTTTCCACCTGTCCTGGTTCTGCTTTTGCAGAGGCCTGCTTTCACCCCGGGGGATACCACGGAGGGACCGGAGCGCTTCCATGCTGCTGCTTTCGCCTGTCCTTTGCTGCTGTGCTGATTTGCTCCAGGAACATCGCGGATACTGTGTGCTGGTCTGGGGAAATGGCCCATATCGGGATTCTGCTGTGCCTGTTAACCGTTTTGGACTATGAGAAGATCTATAGTCTTTCTGAGAAGTCTACTGGATTCAGGTCTGTTCTGCCACCCGCAGTGGGCATCCCCTGCAAAGGTTCGGATGTGTTACACAAACAATTACCGGTTGCCTTGTCACAGACAATCTGCTCGACAAAATATGTTGTTGTTTTCCTGCGATGATGGTTCTTCAGGACTGCTTCTTAAGCTCAAATCACACTCTCGCAGACTTTTCCGGTGTTTCTAAAGTAGATGACAATGTATGTGTGTCGCTTAAGAGGAAAAGATGCCTGTTTTTGTTGTTGTTATGACTGTCAGGAAATGTACAACCTAACCCTGGTCCACCCAGTAGTAGTAGTCAGATCGCTACTCCTGCTGATTTTAAAGCTAGGTCTGGGTTGGGTTTCATCCACTTGAATGTGTGCAGTCTGTTAGGTGAACTAGATTTTATCCGTATCTGGGCGAGCTCGACTGACGCTGACGTCATTGTTTTATCAGAAACATGGCTAAATAAATCTATTTTGGCCTCTGACATTGCCTTAAAGAGCCTGTGACACGAGTTTCCCCCATCATCCAAACCCATCAATTTGAGTAAATATTGTCCCCTTGAAAACTGTTACTGAACTGATTTTGGATATTTGTACTTTGATAACCATTAATCTGCCCTTCAATG